TCTCATAGGTTCACTCTTTATTGAAATCTAACAGCGATAAAATATGAGAATATGCTAAGAAACGAAATAGTTCCAGCGATACAAGCAATCATGGATGACAACTTCGAGCATACATGGTTCCAACAATATGATGCCCCTCCCCACATCATGGAAGGAACGTCCGTAATTATGGACACAGTGTTTCCTCATCGATGGATAGGTAGAAGAGGACCTATAGAATGGCCTCCTCGCTCACCCGATTTATCACCTAACGATTACTTCCTGTGGAGCCATTTAAAAGATAGAGTTTACAAAACGAAACCACAAAATTTGGATGACTTACGAAATCGAATTTTTGACGAAGCTGCTCTCATCCCTGCTGATTACATTCAAAAAGCCGTTTCATCTTTTTACGATAGATTAGTTTATTGTCAAACTGTTGATGGCAAACATTTTGAACAATTACTTTAAAGCTTTCCAGTATTGCCGTAGTTGGCCGGACAACTCCCGACCTTGCCTTAGTTGGCCGGATCATCCTACGATCTTGCCTTAGTTGGCTGGATCATCCTCCGATCTTGCCTTAGTTGGCTGAATCATCCTCCGATCTTGCTTTAGTTGGCTGGATCATCCACCGATCTTGCCTTAGTTGGCCGGATCATCCTACGATCTTGCCTTAGTTGGCTCGATCACTCCGACCTTGCCTTAGTTGGCCGGATCATCCTACGATTTTTTAGTTGGCTGGATCATCCTCCGATCTTGCTTTAGTTAGCTGGATCATCCTCCGATCTTGCCTTAGTTGGCTACATATTTTACTTTAAAAAACTCGATAACTTCGGAACAGCTTATTCAAATTGGATAAAACCATAATGCTTTGAAAAGGTCTGAAGAAGAGCTATAAGAATATGCAATAAAAGATTGGAGGTTCTATTTAAAAAATCCAAGGTGACTTTGTCCTGACCTTGATGACGCCACCCAAGGTCAAATTTTTAAGATCGGTAAATAGATCTTTTTCAATGCTACAACTTTTGTCTGAAACATTTCTTTATAAAGTGTATATTTTTCGAAATTTTCAGGGGTCCCGTGGTTTTTTCTTCACCCTGTATATTGTTAGTAATCGTCAATTTTATCGATTATTCATACAAAGAATATGTTTGGTGAGCTGTATGTTACTCTGCTGCTGCTGTGCGCGTCTGAACTTGTCAGTGCGAGCACTATAACGCCACAGGAACGAAACAAATGAACACACGTTTCCGAAGCAGTGCATCATGGCTCGTCGTCACGGCCTGTCGCCCGAGCAAGTCGTGGCTTTACTAAATAATCTTCCGGAATATCAATCGGAAGGCAAAGACGGTAATTCAAGTAACAGTGATTCTGATTATGATGCAAGAGGGAGTACAATAGAGTCTTCAAACGATTCGGAGGAGAGTGACAAGGATCCTAATGATCTTCCACCCGTGCATTGTCACGGAAAATGTAAGTAATAAGAAATCAATACTGTCGATCAGGTATCGTTATTTTGTTGTTCTTGGTAATAACAGCGCTTGCAATTACAAACACTTCTTCCGCTTTTCTCCAGGTATCACCTCTTCCAGAGGCCGTCCACGCGGAAGACGTCAAGCTGCTATTCGTGGCAGTGGTGATGTTCAATCTGCTCCACTATCACAAAAAGAAACTGATACTCCTGGGCGGTGTGCTAATCGAGCCGGTCGGCATACTTCACGTCATCGAGGTGCTAGCAGGGGCGCTGCAGATGGTCGTGCCACGAGGTTTCGTAGTGCTGCTGCAGCTGCTACCGTAGATGATTACCCAGGGATAGCCGTAGACAACGCCGGCGATGCTTATGACGACGCTCAGGATGCAGATGATACAGAAGTGAATTTCGCATATGCAAGAAAACGGCAAACGTCAAGTAAACGAACAGATCTTAGCAAATTGACTGTCGGCACAGAGGTTGAGGCTCCTGACGCAACAAAGTGGGAAGTAATCTCTACTAATGTTCCATCCGTTGGAAGGCACGGACAGCAAAATGTTATACGGGAGATTCCTGGTCCTTCTTCGTATGCAAAAAGGAATGTCATCATTGGACTTATCTCAAGTGCTTGACGTTTGTTTCTTGATGAATATATTCTCAGGCATATTCAGAAATGCACTGAAACAGAGGCGCATGGGGTATTGGGAGACGACGATTGGTCCTTGCCACTGAATGAGCTTGATGCATTTCTAGGTATTCTGTATGTAAGAGATACTACTGAATCCAAAGAAGTAGAGTTAAATGTTCTCTGGTCAGAGAAATGGGGTATACCATTATGCAAATCTGTGATATCACGTAATCGCTTCAGGGAAATCATGAGGTTCCTGAGGTTTGATTTGAGGTCAATATGCTTACAGCGATTGAAAGATGACAAGTTTGCCCTTATGGCTGAGGTATGGGACAGATTTATAGCAAACTGTCAAAGCATGTACATTCCTGGTCCATACATTTCTGTAGATGAACAGCTGTTTCCATCAAAGTGTAGATGTCGATTCACTCAATTCATTGCTTCCAAGCCTGACAAATATGGGCAGAAATACTGGATGGCCTTCGATAAAGATTCGAAATACATGCTGAATGCCTTCCCTTACCTTGGCAAAGATGAAAATCGCCAAGCTGCTGAACGTCTTAGTGACTTTGTAGTGAAAAAGCTCGCAGGCCCATATTTAAACAAAGGAAGAAACATTACTTGCGACAATTTCTTTACCTCACTTGCACTAGCACAATATTTGAAAGCACATCGAACGAGCTTGCTAAGCACAATCAACAAAAATCGGAGAGAAGTACCACAGTGCATTAAGAAAGCTCAAGAGCAACTCTACAAGACTGTTGCTTTCAAAAACAGTGATATAACTCTCACAATGTATCAGGACAAGTTAAATAAAAATGTTATAATTTTAATCAGATATATAAATTGGAACTGACGCAAAGTCAAAGCCTGAAACTGTGACATGTTACAACGAAACGAAGTACGGGGTTGATATTGTTGACCAGATGGCTCACAAGTACTCAATGAAAGCTGGTGGAAGAAGGTGGCTTGTCCATAGCTTTTACAATCTTCTAGACTTAGCAGGTATCAATGCATGGGTTATTTACAGAGAAGTTACAAATGACAAAATAACAAGGTGGGAGTTTCTTCTGAAACTCGCAGAGGAACTTACCAAAGAGTATGCAGAAACCAGGGTCAAAGCGTCAGCCGCTCACATGGACCCATTGGAAGTTGATGGTTCACGTCGCCGCTGCTAGGTGCGAAAGTCTTGTAAAGAAGGAAAAAGTTCTTATAAATGTATGTCGTGTAATAAGCAAGTATGCAAGAAATGTATTGCTGTAGTTTCTTACGTTTGTGCATCTTGCAAATCTCAATCCAATGATGAAACAGATGTATAGGTACCTGCAAAGACTATATTTATCCATCCAGACTGTCATATGTAACTGTGAGGAAAAATGTTAATTAGAATAAAATACGTTGTATGCATCTTTATTCGTTACTCATTAGTATGTTTACTTACCTGTAATAAGTCTTACTTTGTTATAAAAACTTCTTGACTTGACTGTACTTGATTGTAGTCATAAAAAAGTCATATTTTTAAAGAATATTTACCAAATACTGAGGCATTTACCAAAATATACGCCAAATGCCTAAATAAGATGTTTTGTACAAGATTTAAAACAAAAATTTTATTTTGTTTTGTTATATGAACATGTTTCTAAGTTGCACTATTTTAACATATGACTGTACTTTATGTTTATAATTAAAAAATGTTAATCCATTATCAAAGGGTCTCTTCTTTATAAAAAATACCTATTTCTTACATAAAATAGACGAGTAGCTAGCACAAAGCATGTATAATTACCGTTGGGACATTTTTGTCCCGTCGGCGGTTTTAGGGGGTTCGCAAAGTCCGGTGGTTCTAGTGTTAACAAGTTGACATTTAGATATTTTCTTTTTTCGACGAGTTGAAGTGCAGAACTCCTTTTCGTTAAACGAGTTGAAGTGCAGACCTCCTTTTCGACGAGTTGAAATACGCGCCTTTGTTTAAATAATTATTTGATACCCCAACTGGAGTACGTGACTGGTGCAACTTGGACATACTGGAAGCAAACACACCTACGCAGACTTGCGCCAATTTTCCTCTCTAGTAGGAAATATCCGGAACCACCAGTAAGTTTATACTTTACGCTCTTATCTATATTTTCTTTTTTTCGACTGAACATTCTTTTTTTTTAAATCCGGTTTTAGTGGGCTATTATTACGAGGGTCGTTCAATAAGTCCTTAGAAAATCCAAGAGATGGCGCTCGTAGTATCGAAAATAGTTTGTTTTTAGTAAGCATCATTACTCACTAGACAGCTGTTAAAGTCAGTTATATCCATCACATGGTTTCATTTTTATTGTCGATTGAAGCAACAAACTTTTCTTTATTTATTTATTTTCTTTATTTAGAAAAATGGAAAAAAGTGAGTTTCGAGTGGTGATTAAACACTTATATTTAAAAGGCTTAACACCGAAAGAGATTAAAGCTGAGTTAGATGAAGCAGATGAAGTTAGATGAAGTTCATAGCACATCTGCTCCTGTGTTTGCAACTACCCAGGTAGCAAGCAGACATCATTTTGACGTTAAAAACTGGTCACTTTTAGTCAAATGTCGTCAAAATGTCGTCAAAATGACCAATTCATATACGGTCATTTACATGACTTCTAATTGACGTCAAAATGCTATACCACTTTGACGTCATTTCAGTCATGAACTGACGATAATTGCGTACTAATATAATTATTTATAACGTTGATTCCGTAATAACAACTCTTTAAAATTTCGTATCAGACTTTCGATAAGTATTAAAAGAGGTTTGTTTATATATAAATATATTAATATACAAATATATAATATATATATAATATATAATATATATATAAATATATTTATATATTTTATATATAAATATATTTGGCATATTCCGTTAGAAGGAAAAATGTACGTCAATCAAATGCAAGAACTCACTTAGCGTTCAGTGAGCTGAACGCTTGTAGTACTGAATGCACCCATTGGTCATGCTGGCTTCGCGTGTTCCGTTCTCCATGGGCGACTTTAAGCACTCGACGTGGAAAAGTGCAAATGGCGATCAGTGAAATATCTCTCTCGTGCGCTCATTCGCAAATTAGTTACTGTGTTAGTGCAAGTGTCATGTAGCTTGTGCTTATACAGCTCAATAGGTTAATATAAAGGCTGAGTACTGAATGTAAGTACCTATTAAATGTATATTTTATCATTAACCTTGAAAATCACATCATGGACAGTGATGGGAATTATGACCTTTTGACACATCTATGAACAGATACTTTTCAATCTGTGGGGAGGGAGAAGCTCGATTACATTCAGTTTATCGTAAAAATATTGCTATTTACATCGCACGATAAACTGATTGTAGGCTGAGCACACAGATAGAAAAGTCTCTATGGCATAGGTGTGCCAAAAGGCCAAGCCCCACAAAAACATACGTGGATTCCATGTGGAATGCACGTTGTATTCACGTGAAATCCACAAAATCACATGGATTTCACGTAGACACAACGTTCCTGTTTTCGTGGGGGAGATTCCCATCACTGGTCATGCCCAATGAAAAGGGGACGTGAAATCTAGGTAGATTTACGTTAATAGTTTACTTAGGTTAAATATGTTCAATGCAAGTTAAAATAAAATTAATCTGAAGTAACTTATTTGCAACTTTGTTAATATATTATAGCTTCACAATGTCTTGTGGGTATTCAATTTGTCAGTAATACTCATGAAGAAAGTACAATTGCATTGATTCATCGATCATGGTTTACGCCTCTGAAAAGTCAAGTCTGGTGGCCTCCGTACAAGACAAGTGTTCAATTTAAAAAAACACTGTTTACTGAAGAACAAGTAAACGAAAATACATGGGCATTGTATGACATGAAACTTATGTTTTTTACTTGTGGTATGTATTTTATGTATAACATTATACTCGTTTGTTATTTGTACAGTAATATAAATATATTTCAAAGTATTGTTATTTATATACAGATGAATTTGATAAGGCCTTTAAAAAACTAAAAGAATGTGAAGAAGTGTCTGATTTACAATCTACTGAAGTAGAAGATGACGTACAAAGTAAGAAAAGAAAACGCAAACCAAATTTAAAATATATCATAAGTAGTGAAGACGAATACGATGAAAACTGTGATTCTCTACAGCTACTAGCAAAACTTGATAAACCAGGTGAGACAAACATAATTTACATTTATAAGGATAAGAATATTATCATTGTTTTTCATTCATTCTTGTATCTTCTTCATTTATTCTTGTTCTTCATTTATTCTTGTACTATGTTACAATATGATAAAATATATATGCATGTTTCATGTTACTACATATGTTTATAAAAACATATCCTTTTTTAAGTACAATTGAAAAATGGACCTTGGAAAGTACAACGCAGGTACGTTGCAGATAAAAATTATGAAAATAGGAAATAAATGTATTGTTATCAATTACGTATTTATTTTAAGAATCTCTTGATTCTGATTTTTTTGTGAAATTTTTGTTTATTTACAGGGATTGTGTATTACAAGAAATACCTACTAGTTCTTCTGCAAGTTACACAAATAACGATGCATCTATAATTGCTCCAACTATTAACACTAGAACAAAAGTTACTAATTCTACGCTTATAAATAAAAATGAAAACAACAGTACAACAAACATAACAATACATAACAGTACAACAAACATAACAACAATAAAATTATACGAAGCAGATTGCAGAAAAATGTACAGAAGTGTCATTGCTTAATATATGTGTTGTTCGCACTTTGAGTGAATTAAAAGCATGGCCTGTTAATCTCATTGACAGTAAATGTATTCTATTGCCTTATACTAACGATAACAATTGTCACGTATGCTTACTAATCGTACATAGTTTGGACTAATGTATTAGTTCAAATATCCTCTAATATGAGTTTTTTTGTTATATTCCATTTAATTTACGAAAGTGTGATAATTGAAGAAATTGTGATTTTAGTTATGCTGCCAAAGATTACGTAACATGTTATATTCTATTTCTTTTTGATTCTATAATAATATATTATACATTATGTAAATAAGAGCTTTTATGTTTCAATAAAAAAATTAATGATCTGATGTATATGTCTATGTTTGTACTATATTTGCGTCTTCATTATGTCCTAAATATATCATCTTGCTGTATGCTGATAAATACGTCCAAATAAGGTCCATTTATGACGTCAAAATACGGTCCTTCTATGACGTCAAAAAACGGTCCTTCCATGACATCAATATTTTGGGACATTCGACCGTCTTTTGGACGTCATAACGATGTCAATCCCTGATGTCATTTAGTCAGAAAATGACTAATTTTCGACGTCATAATGACGGCTGTTTGCTACCTGGGTGTTTACAATTGCGTAAATGAGTTTAAACGTGGCCGTACATCCACAAAAGATGAACATCGTTCGGGACGTTCAGTGGAAGTGACTACCCCCGAAATGATTGACAAAATTCACGATATGGTTTTGAGTGATCGACGAATCAAAGTGCGCGAAATAGTTGAGGCCACGGGCATATCGCAAGGTAGTGTTTTCAATTTTGCACGAAAAATTGGGTGTGAAAAAAATCTCGGCAAGATGGAAAAAGTGCTGCGTTTGCTCTCACAAGTAACACAAAATCGGCGTGTGACACTAGCCAAGTGTCACACGCCGATTTTGACAGGCCTTGAATATGTTGTAGTTTCGGTCAAAATAAGAGACACATATTTTTTTATACGTGCTCTAACGGCCGTTAAGGGGGTGAAACACTCTCTTGAAAAATAATCGGTTTCTATATCCCTGAGCAAATATCGTCAAAATAAATAAAAGATACAAAAAACTTCCAAACAAAAGTTTTATGGCTTTTAGTGTACTTAATAACAGTGTAATCAGATTTTTCGAAAATGTGACATTTTTCGAAATTTCCTCCCCCCTTTCAATTTCTGAAAATTTTAAAATTTGTCTTATAGCGAAACTTAAAGCTTATTTAACGACAAATTCAATCATATATGATAAAGTTGTATTCCGAAAACGCATTTTTCAGAAAGGCTAGAAATACCTCTATATCGCTATACGCGCACCCCATCATATCCGCCTTATGACGCTTGCTACTTATAGCGACAATTTTTCCTTCGCAATCTCACAGATAACAATAAAAATCGACACACGGGGGATCACTTTTAATTAACAAAATATATTACACTGAAAAAATATTTAGTAATTTCAAAAAAATTATTTGTTTAAATTGTTTAAATAAATATTTTTGTTTAAATTAAATACTATTTTTTTTATTTATTTATTTAAGAAAAATATAGTAATATCACAAAAATATATAATTTAAATTAATATTTGTTTAAATGTATTTAAACAAATCATTTTTTTGCATTTACTATTTTTTTCAGTGTGGATTCTCGCTCTCTGCCAGGAATAACCAATGTGGAGGTGGCGAGAAACTATTCACTATTTTTATTACTTTAATATTTTTAAACGACCCCGCACCATTTTTTATGGGAAAATGTCTTCTGCGGATTTGGCTAATTATTGGATATGTAGTTCTCACCATTCTGAACAAAAATATCCATGGGCACAACTTGATCCTATGAGCCATTTCCGCGCTACAAGCCCTGGAAGGTCCAGATTTAACATGTAAAGGTATATAGGCTTTTCGTCTCGATATGTGTGACTCGGTCAAATGTGCGTGCGTGTATCGTGTATATGTATGTGTGTGTCATAGCAGAGAAGAGGACGGTTCGTCACTCCCGTAGCATTTTCTGACTTCAAACCCTCTCTATTGTGTGTGTATGGTATGTGTGTGTGTGTGTTGTGTGGTGTCCACTACTTTTGATATGCAGTGCAATAATGTGGAGAATTTTCAGTATCTATAGCGAAGAAGTGCTGTATACACAGACTTTGTGCACCAAGCACATTTGATTATTGCTATATCATTGCAGAACTTACAGCATGTATCACAATTTTGAAAGCAATAATTCACAGGAGTCTCACATTTATCAGATTTTTCCGTGATATATCCGCTCTTAAACTAGGCATACTTAAACATGTTTACACATCTAGGGGATGAAAATTGATTATGAATTAATGACTGAATTTTCAGGACATTATTCCTCAAATGTAAATTTACATCATAATGGTATAGTAGGATTAAGTCAGAGAACTGTTCCAGAAAATTCTTCCACGGTCTGAATGTGTAAACGTCAAGTGGCTGAATCATGCCAGTTGCTCCAGCAGGGATGGTCATAATTTTTACGTCCTTACCACCTTTGTCTATGTTGTCAAACTTTTTTTCTGTTTGTCCTGTCTACGAATCCAAACACAAGACAAATCTTTCACCAGCATTAGGTAAGTAAACATCCTCAAACCATTTGTTTGAGAGATCTGATGTTAATTTACCAGATGTTGAAGCGAATGTAACAATGTTATCAGCTTTGTACATGGTTTTTTGAACAATGGGTCCAAAGTGGTCACCTGTTTCTTGCAGGACTATGAGCAAAGGGGATTTTAAGACTCCACTTGCAGATAGGATTGGCTGTATCGTGTAGCTGTGCGTTAACGAGTTCAAAGATTGAACTACACATTCAATTTTTACGGATCCTTTAAAGGATAGTGTACGACCTGCGTATGTCTCCAAATTAAATCCTGATTGGTTCGAATTGTAAACATTGTCCTCTCCTAATAACGAAATATTCGATTTTACTTTAGTCACAAATTCATTAGCTTTTTCTAGTAATCGTTGTTTATTAGTTAGTTGTGTTTGAGTGACAAATTTATTAATTTTTCTGGAAACATTTCTATGCCTTACTTTGAAATTATGAACCTAATTCATAGAAGCCGTGAATAAATGACAAGACAAATTAGCGTCATCTCTTGCCTTTAAAGCCCATCTTTTTAGATCCAAATCATGGATAGGTAGCGATTTATCACATGCGCTCTGGAATTGTTCTAATACGTATTTCGAAATCTCTAATAATTTTTCAATTCTCATTCCACCTTCAGTGACTTGCGTTTCCCATCTATATAGTAATTTTCTATTCGTAACTTTTTTGAATCTACGTTGGACTGTTTCAAAATTCTTATTCTTCTTCTTCCCAGAACGCCAAAATTCAAATTGCTTGTTTCTTGTATTCAATATCTATAATCGCTTTAACTTTCTTATTATCTTTCACAACCTCCTCATAATCATCTTCAAACTCATCTTCAACTACGACGGCGTCAGGAAATATATTGTTGTCATCATAGTTCAAAGTATTATAACTCTTTATAAATACTTGAGTGTTGATGCAATCTTTAATCAAATTTTCTAAATGTAATGTGAAAGATCGATCTCTCTTCGTCGGTAATGATAGATTCGATATCGTATTGTGGATTATCGAAGCTCTTTCCTAATTAATTTAAAATATTCTTTGGATTCATCGTGATTTGTTCTGGATGAAAGTGTTATATGCTGTGCATACTCTGTTATACTCTGTGTAAGTATATTCTGTGTATATCTATAGCAGCGCGAATTTAACTCCGAGTAGAGGTAGTTCGGTGTGCGTCGCATAGCGGCGACCATCGATACTAGCGGGGTGGCGAGAGCCGGCGCGGATGAGAGAGAGATAGAGCGTGTGCAAGTGAGACGGAGCACGCGCTGCGATAGAGGGCAGGCTATGCGTCTCATCGAAGCACTCTGAATCGTGAACATACCGCCCGCCTCGATTTGTGAAAGTTTAAATCTAGACCAGCGTGGATTACTGGCTAGTGTTGGATAGCTTGTGTCGCCCGTCGTGCTTGGTTTCGATGGATTGAGATTGGGCGGCGTGTGATTGAAGTGAAGATGTAATAAGGCGGATATGGATGGGGTGCGCGTATAGCGATATAGAGGTATTTCTAGCCTTCCTGAAAAATGCGTTTTCGGAATACAACTTTATCATATATGGTTGAATTTGTCGTTAAATAAATTTTAAGTTTCGCTATAAGACAAATTTTAAAATTTTCAGAAATTGAAGGGGGGCAGGAAATTTCGAAAAATGTTACATTTTCGAAAAATCTGATTACACTGTTATTAAGTACATTAAAAGCCATAAAACTTTTGTTTGGAAGTTTTTTGTATCTTTTATTGTTTTGACGATATTTGCTCAGGGATATAAAAACCGATTATTTTTCAAGAGAGTGTTTCACCCCCTTAACGACCGTTAGAGCACGTATAAAAAAATATGTCTCTTATTTTGACCGAAACTACAACATATTCAAGGCCTGTCAAAATCGGCGTGTGACACTTGGCTAGTGTTACTTGTCAGTGGAGAATAAACGCAATCGTGTGGTCGACTCTGAGGCAGTTTTGGCGCCTTTCCGTCGCAATCCTGACGAGTTTCTGCGTCGATACCTAACTGTGGACGAAATATGGATACACCACTACACTCCAGAGACAAAGGAACAGTCAAAACAGTGGGTTTTTGAAGACAAACGGGCTCCGAAGAAGGCGAAGATAGTGAAATCGGCCGGCAAGGTGATGGTCACGGTTTTTTGGGATGCACGCGGAATTATCTACACCGATTACTTGGAAAAAGGACAAACAATAACTGGAGAGTACTATGCGTCGTTATTGCATCGGTTGAGCGAAGAAATCAAGAAAAAAAGTCCTCATTTGAAGAAGAAAAAGATCTTCTTCCATCAAGACAATACATGGGTGCCCACCTGCGCAGTTTCGATGGCCAAAATTATGGAATTAAAGTTCGAATTATTACAACATCCACCGTATTCACCGGATTTGGCCCCCAGTGACTTTTTTATTTCCAAACTTGAAAAAATGGCTCGGCGGACAACGGTTCGAACGAGGAGGTCATCGTCCAAACAGATGCCCATTTTGAGGACCTTCCGAAATCCTACTTTTTGGACTTTTTGGACGGCTTAAAAAGTTGGAGAAATGCTTGGAAAAGTGTATAGAGCTAAAAGGAGATTATATTGAAAAATAAGAAAAAATCTACCCAAAATAATT